TATATATATATATATATATATATATATATATATACAGTCCTACCTGTTCCTCCATCAAGAGTTTTCCCAAAATGATAGTTCTCTATTCACTAGGTAGTTCATGATCTTGGACAGGACCATTTTCTCACATTCCTTGGAAAAATCACAAGTACTATATTGTACCGCCTTCCTAATCTACTTTATTTGTTCTGTCTTGTGAGTGTGAATCATTGAATAATTTATGGCAAATTTGTAAAATCCCTCTTCTTACCCACAAAAAAAGTGCCTATTATCAGCCCCCTCACTAGTTATATGTTTTTCATGGAACATTTATAGTTGTAAGATAGTAATTTGTAGACTTTTAACTTTGATTCTTTTTTTAACTGAGGTAGCACTGGTTTAGAAAGCTCTTGTTTGTTTTAGAAGTATAACATCTTCCCTCAAGTGTTGTTCTTGCACAGCATTCACAACCAGAACATCCACCATCAATACGTCCACACCTTAGTTCATTGTGCATTGTGCTCTCATAGCATTTGCTCGTGCCCTTCTTGCTCACACTCTGCCTTTGAAAGCCTCATTCTGTAGTCATTTTCCTAGAGATTATTGTTAGGCTTTATCTCACCCTTGGGTTGATCCATTCTACATGCACATGGTACTTTGCAGTTATATATTTTTCTACAAATACTGAATTTCTTTTCTAGTTTTTTACATAATTTGTAATTTTTAGGACAATAAAAAATGAAAATGATGATCGTGGACACCCTCATGTATTTATGATATATTAGCATTTCATTAATTGTTTTTTTAAACACTTGTAATTGAACTTAATACCTTTTCCCCTCCTCCACTAGTACAATAAGCACAAATTAGTGGGAGTAGTGTAATAATCTGTTTTTGACATTTAATCATAATTTTTTTGATTTTTGCTTTATTTACCTTTTTTTTCCCTGAATATATTAAAATTCCTTTTCACCTGTTGGCATGAGATGAAAATTTTATCTATAACTGTTTAGGTATAGAATGACACTAATTGATTACCCAATATCATCTCAATCTTGAATGAAACTCAATTTACTAATGGTATTTATGCATCACTGGACCTGGTATGCTAATGTGTTGTTTAGGATTTTTGCATTTGTGTTTATGGCAGACATTAGATAATAGTTTTCCTTTTAATTCTTAAAAGTATGATAATGAGGTTTTTAAATCCAAAAGTTGCTTCATTTTTTCCTATCATTTGAAATAGTTTGTGGGTATATCTGTATTTATTTTTTAAATGTCTGAAAGTATTCACTGAAGAAATTGAGTCTTTAATTTATTTAAGGGAAAGGTTTAAATTATAAATTTGATTTTTTCACTAGATCAAGGGAACAGAGATTTTCATCTTGTGTCTGATTTTCTCCTTGATCCTCAAGAGTTAAAACATTCCAACACAGAATGACTACAATTTTTGGAATTCTTTCTGAATCTTGAGCTACCATGGTAGCAGTAGCAAAAAAGAAGAAACATTAGTGTAAAGAAGCCAGTGCAGAACCAGATCAAATGGTTTTCAGTTCAATTTTAGGTAAAGGATTAAATGGGTATTTCACTCTCATTTAGTTTAAAAACAAAGATATCAACACTGTTCATGTGTATGTCCTTAACTTCATATTAATACTCATCCCTTGATATTATGGCTAACTTTTTCTATTTTTATTAAGTTAAACAGTTATAATGGTGAGGAAACAAATGTTTTTTCAGTTTTTTAAAGAGATACAATATAAGCTCTACTATGAAATGTGGTATGTTGAATAAATTAGCTAACCCCTTAGTGAGGGGTTTTAATTTGTATTTACTATTGTGTGTCAATTTTCAAGGTTTATACCTTAAATCGTTCATTGGTTTATACCTTAAACCAATTATAAATGTATTGCATATGTAGTTAAAACACCAAGCCATTTATGTGATCTACAAATATTTTAATATTTTATTATCTCACCAAGTAATTGAATTTAAAACAATTATAAAAAACACTCTTGTTTTCTGTTAGCAGTGGAGTGGACTATGTTAAATGACATAAAATTAATCTTGTTACAGGGCAACCCAGTGTGAACTGGGCTGCTTGTCTGTGATCCTCACCAGCATGCTTAAAATTTAATTGTACTGCACACACAAAAGGGTCAATAATGGCTTTATTTACAAAGAGGGGAAAGGAAAAGCAACAACCCAGGGAAAAAGA